TGGGATGTGGGCCAAACCCATTTCTAGAGCTTGCTTCGCGGTCTCTGTCTCTATCTCGTGGGACTAATGCATCGGTGCCGAATACATCTGATATTGGTGGCAGACGATTGTTTGTTTGGTTCGCAGGGTTATGATTTACCTGTGGGGAGGGAGCAAAATCTGGAGGGTTGACAAAATGACGAGTTAGAGGTTGAGGTTGGCGGCGGCCGGTGAATGTTTGATTAAGTGGTGCAGATTGAATTACTCGTTCGTTGGCAAAGGTCGAGGCAGACGGAGCAACGATCGAGAGACCCGGGGGAGGTCGTTTCTTGGTAGATGTCTTTGGGCCTGAGGAGCCAAAAAGGTTTGACTCTGAGGGTTTGGCAGTATCTGGACCGTCTCCCTTGGCAGATTTCTGCAGACGAGACTCGATGATAGACCGTTGTTGATCTCTGACCGAGATACTTCGTTGAAGCTGTTCTCTCATGTTGGGATCTTGTGTTTGGAATCCAGGGGATAGACATGCAAGCCCAACATCATGCATTGCCAGTCCATCTCGAGCTGTCAATGGTCCTCTTGCGGTCGTAGGGCCCTGACCGGTCGCCACTGATGAAAGGTCTAGTTTCCGTGGACGGTGCCTGGCTGGTCCAGCTTGCATGTTAGGAGACGATGGGGATTCCTTCTTGATGGATATTTTTGGAGCTGGTCCCCCACTCCGTGACCTAATATATATGGTTAGCATGAAGAGAGCTATGATAAGATATGCGCAATTGAACCTGCGCATAAACCTTTATATATAGAAGGGGAATACTGGGCTGGACTCACGAGTTGGGTGACCGCTTATCATCTGGAGTCGTCTTCTCTCCTGCGTAATCGTGTGCAGGGCCCCGCGAAGGCGTCGATACTGAAGACAGCGAGGTCGATAGAGGCGCCAGTGTAGGATATGACTTGGGGCTGAGGTCTCTGTCTCGGTCGACCATTGGAGGCAACGGCGCTGCTGTTGGGGGTGCAACAGCAGTGGACATGTTCACGAAGGAGTAAGAAGCCGAAGGTAGTTCAACGACCAGGACAGTCGTGTAAAGAGAATATGGTACGACAAGAGCTTGCGCACAACCAATCGAGAGTAGCGAAAGACGTGTATGTATCTCTCTCCGTAATAGAAGTCAGGCGCTGGAGTTGTGGGTTGTTGTATATCAGTCGAAAAGGCCGTGTATGGTTGTAGAGCTTGAAGTGAGCTGCCGCCCAACTCTCAACTCTTAAGTTCCAAAGAAGAGAACAAAAAAACCCCTTAAGCGAGCGAGTGATGAAAGAAGCCGTCCGTATGATGATCTTGTCTCCCTGAATCTTTCATGCGCGATCACACTATTAGCCGCCGTGACGAGAGAAGCAGACGCTGTGAGACGAGAAGGAAAAGAAGGACGAAGGAAAAGACATGAAAAACCGCCCAAGCCACAAGCTAATCAACTCCAAGCAAACCGACAGGGTCATATTATAAAAACAGAAGCAGAAGAGAGACAGAGACAGAGATCGCATCGGCCAAAGCCCACTCTCGATCCCTTAATCCCCTGACATACGAGGTTTTGGTCGCCGTGGCGGGCGGGAACAAGAAGCGATACAAGGGACGAGGGGGTTGCAAAAGCAATAAAAAAACCCGGTATCAGGGGGTTCTCGGTCTGAGATTCTCTGACAGACAGAGATAGAGATGGCCTTTTCTTCTCTTTCTCTCGCCGTTGGACGCTTTGGGGGGGAGGAGGAGGAGGAGGGTATGAGGGAAGGCTGTTCCGTGTTTGTACTCACCAGGGTACGATCAGGAAGAATGCGCTTGGGACGGTCTTTACAGAAACACAGCATGCAGCAGAGACATGCCGTCCGCGCGAGAAGACTCTGGATACGATAGAGGTGAAAGGGAGTCGAAAGAAAGAAAAAAGAAGAGAAGAGAGAGAAGCGCAAGGGCGGATGGAAGAATGCAAGATGAATGGCGGCTAGCTGCGACAGCCTCACGAATCACACTGTTCCCCGTATATTAACGATTATCCAACAAAAGTACGGAGTACAGATTACAGACGGCCGGATAATATACTGCTTCCCATCAATATAAAGAGAGAGGAGAGAGAGAGAGAGACAATGGGGGCTTTGTCAAAAAGCTGAAACAGGAGCAGATGTCGCCTCCAACCTCCGTGGATGCGCATCTCCTTACACTACGGAAAAAGACTTATATACACACAATTTGACCGGAGCCTGGCCGTCCTAGTTCCAGAGGTACATACATATGTCTAACGGATACTTCGACTGGCTTCCCTCATGCATACATAGCACAGTTATTAATGGGCCCTTTTTGCGTGCTTAGTACCGCATGTATACATAGTACATCGGTACACAGGGGCGGCCGTCGTACTCGGGACAGGCTAGGCCTCACGACCGCGATGCTGTTTCACCAGTGTTTCTCCACGGTCCCTAGCTGCATCGAACAATGTCAGATTCGCCCATCAAGCCTGTGAAAGCAGCCGGTCGATGGTTGTTCAAGCCAAAAGAACAGCTGTCGGATAGAGGAAAGGAAGAGAGACAGAAGAGACGTGAGAAGCAGTCATGCTGGAGAGACAACAACAGCCAGTATCAAGATCCCTCCGTGATAACAAGGAATCTGAGACTTGACATCCATCTACCTGCAGGGTTTGCGCATGTCGTCCCCGCCGAACTATTGGATTCCAGAAGTGATAACTCCCCATTGTTGCAGAGGGGCCAAATCCACCATTGATTGTTGAGATAATAATAATAGATACATATTCCATCCTGTCACCCGCGTGAGCGAGTCGACCTTGTCCGTTTTGCTCGCATCTCAAAAAGAAAAGAAGGAAAAACAGCCTTTCTTTAGGCACTACGCCGTTGCCTATTGGCCGCTGCCTGTGGCGCCTTCATGTCTTTTCTCTCAACATGTCTGCTCTACGAATGCCATGATTGGAGGACGAAACAAGCCCTTTGAGATGCAGATGCAGCCTGTGCCCGCTGCTCCGCTGGGGGTTCTGGGTTGCTCGCAGGGCCTAAATCGAGCCAACGAGGTGCTCTTATCCACTATTTGTTGCATCTTTTAAACAATCAGCAAAGGTCAACCCTAAAACCATCGAAACCTAAACCACGGACCATTCCTCAGCTCATAGAGACATCGACATACATACACATAGACATACATTGTCTTATTATGGCTGGGCGATAGCACGCACGGAGATATATGTATATGAATGTATATACCGGCAGGGCGCAATCTAAGACATTATGGCCCCTCCCCCTCGCCCATCCTCTTGATAAAGATGGCTAGAATACGAGGATGCACATGTCGCTTTGAGCTGTGGGAGCCACAGCCTTGCTGTTAATCGACCGAAAAACGAACACTGAAAAATACAGTGTTAACCTGTTCGTTGTTCATCATACACTTACCGAGAGGACGAAGAAGAACACCTGTCAAGTGCGGTCGTTGAGATGGACAAGCTCTTCCCACATCCAGAGTACTCCGAGGACCAACCGCAGTCCAAGACAATATTAACCATCCACGTTCTCCGTGCCGGCCTAACTGCTGGCTCGATCCTCTCCGTCCTATCCGCAACACTGACAACTCTCTACAAAGAACCATCTGCCTTTCTATCATCCCAACATGGCAACCGGCTCCTCATCCATGCCAGCCGCGGTGGCCTAGCTGGATTCATGGTCTCAGGCGTAATGCTCACTGCAAAAATGTGGGGGAAAGAGGATATTGAGTGGAAAGACAGATCCTGGAGGTTGCTGGAGAATAAGGGGCAGTGTGAAGCGGACAGGTGGATTGCGGCCGGAGGTTTGATCGGAGGTCTAGGAATGATGATGCTGGGAAAGGGCAGAACTGCCGCTGCTACTGTCACTGCAGCTATCGACAAAAGACCTACCCTCGTCGTCAAGCCGCTAGACGCTATAATGGGCGGGATAAGCCTGGGAACGGCATCGGGGGCGGCTGGTTGCATTGCATGGAGAAAAGGGGTTCATGGAGGGAAGTACTAGGTTCTTCGCCTACTATGTTATATGTAATCCATACCCATAATATACTCTCACCTCTTCTATGCAGCTGTTATGTACTCTAGGCCACAAGCTATCCCAGCCCAGCCTCTCCTCCATAAGTAGTCAGTCGTCTTCCGCCCCAAGAGAGCTGCAGGCTGCCGGCGTCCTTATCGACATGGGCCATATATGAACATCAATCAAGTATCACGTGGACATATCAGATACATAGGATGAAATCGCAGCTTTCAACTAACATACGAATTTGCATTACATAGTACTTCAACGCGGAGAAAGGTCCTCAGCTATCTCATGGTATGTTTTGCATTGAAATTTGAACCCCGAAAACATATAATAAATAAAACTAAGTTTAAACAGCGGAGACACAAATAAGCGTTGCGTGGAGATCACCGTTGATCAATGCTGGCATCAAGAAGCAAAAAAGGGTGGGCATGATGCCGGATGATTGAGACAACGGATATTACCACTACCACTAAGATTATCGTCCCTTGATACCCGCGCTGGTTTCTGCTATTCAGGGAATATAGAGAGAGAAAAAAAGAGACTCAGATTAATCGTGAATGTTCGTCGGTCGATCATAACTTCTATCCCGATCGAGGCTGTTCTATATATATGTATATATATATATATTAGCTGCATGGAATGACTGAATGCATTGATTTGAATGAACTGCTCACTCAGGCCTTCAGAGCTGAAGAAGTTTTCTATCCACGGCGGTAACAGTGGCCGTCGCTTCCGCAGAATTGAGTGCCAGGGGCGCAGCATGCATTTGGGCAGCAGGAGACAGCCTGTCTGACGCAGCAGAAGTTGTATGCGCGGCAGTACAAGGGGTGGCTGGGAGGGCACTGAGCAGCAGCAACACCCATGAGCTGGGAGCTTGCTTCCATGTCGGAGTTCTGGAGCATTGGAGCCTCCATCACTACTTCAGCCTTGGGGGCAGCAATGGCGCCTCCAAGAAGGGGAATGAGGACAAATACTGCGGTGAACTTCATTGTTGCCGATGATGTCTGGTGCTATATACTTTGTGAGAGGGTTGTGCTTGATATTTTAGGGAGTCAATGCTAGAGAAATGCCAGAGTAGAGCTCACTTGTGTTTTATTTCGTAGAGGATTGTTTGCATTGGTTTGGTGATAAATTTCAGGCTGGATAGGGGAGATGAGAGCCCTTTAAATAGTCGTAGATTCATGCATCTGCCATTACCACATGTCCCACGGATATTCCTGAGGGGATATGCCCCTCACAAACAACCGCCTCTGGACCTATTCTTCGAGCATATACTACCACCTTAATTAATGTTGTGTCACGGTCTATTTGTCTAGCCTCTCCTCCCGTGCTGGCCAGGTAGATCAATATATCTCAACCGTAAATCATTGCCAAATGCCGATCAGAAAAGCTGTAGATGGAAATAGAAACTGTCGGGGAATTGACCGTTATTGGCCGGTAAGCCTATATTGTCTGAAAGTGAAGATGAAATACGATGCGCCTCGTCCAGCAACAGATCGTATACTGTACAACAGAGATACTACACATGGTAGCAGCTTATATTTGAATCCAGCTCCCGTGGTCTTAGGAGAAAAAGAGGTCAGGATGATTGGTCGGAGCTGCCTTCGTATTACCCCACGAAGATCATGGTATCAGCTGAGCCCTGGGAGAGCAAGGTGAAAGAATCGACAATGCGGCTCAACAAGATAATAAACCACGTTATAAGGTAACCTAACCTTCACGTAATAGACAGGGATTAGTGGCACAGAGCGACCGTACCACATCGGGAGGCTAGATAGAGAGCAAAATCATGTTATCAGGCGAAGATATCACTGCGGAGGGCGGGACCCTCTTGTGGCATAGCTCTGGTGGTCCAGCCAGGGTCAGCAGACTGGTGGTGAGACAGAAATACGGGCGAACACCAGCCTCATATTTCGACCGTGCATTAGTATTAGTATCTGAGGCTATTGGATAGCTAATGCTCATCGTCTTGAGGACATCAATGTACGCTATGCCTTGGGGGTGAGCCGTACACATGTAGTACGACTGGGAAGTCACACCTGAAGCCTGTTCGGGCAACGTTTACAGCTGTTGCTTCGTTGTTATTGGTTTTAAACAGTGAGACTCAGTATAACTTGAAGAAGGTACCTGGTGGAGATAACACTGTATGTGATATGTCGATGGCGAAACATTCTTCTGCAAGAAATATGCCAAGAGACAAGAGAAAATACGATGCTGAACCAGCCAGCAAGAAAAGCCACCTAATGTCATATTAGTATAGCCAGGCTGAGTGAAATGTATGTTGAACACAACGCACCTCTTGAAAAGATATTATGTAGCGTCAAAATACTTGCATGTACCCAGTGTGCTCAGCCGCTGCCGCATCAAACAAGCCAGACGGTTATGTATGCCCAGCTTCATGCCCAACTACGTGAGAGAGCGAATATGTGCAACAATTGCCGGATCTAAGGTCCAGGTGAGTGGTGATGGAAGACTCGTAGAAACGAGCTGAAGAGCAAGTGAAACCACGATAATAACTATGCGCAGCCTGTAATGTTCGTGGGAGGTTTCTGTGCAACAACGCCAGCCAATGTCAGTCGAGTTCGTGTGAAGTTTCCGGGGCTTGAGATACACTTGGTTTATTTTTGGCTCATGGCTGCAGCCTTTCTATGGCTGAGGCCCTTCCATTTCCACGGGGTGTTTGGTTCTGGCCCATAGCGTCTATAAGTTGGCTCGAACTTGAAGATGCAAGTAAATCTTTTCCAAGAAAGAAAAAAAGAAAACAAGTTGAAATGGAACGAAAGCATGAGAATAGAGAAAACACCGGTATCTTCATTATTGTCTGCTGATTAATTCCCTTCCAAGGCCTGAAGATACCATTATCCGTCCAACCAACCTCCGCCCGTCCTTCCACTGGGTATTTCCATTTCGCGTATCCAATGCTTGGTATCTGCCGGCCAATTAAAAAGAATATGCATATCCTTGTGTCGTTAAATATTCATGCCTCAAAAATAAAAGAAATAAAGTAAATGATCATAACTGGTGATTTGCTGTCCATCCCTCCAAAAAGCACCGTCTCTTTTGATAGGAACGAATCGAATCCAGTTTCACGCTTGTATTTTTTTTATCCCAATCCAATTCAAACTAGATTTGGGGGAAGGGAGTCTGAATATCCCAAGGGTTATATCATGTCGGCCCAGTCGGTTTGTACAAGATGGTTGTCACATACTATATATGAAGTCAGTATAATTCTAGTAGGACCGAAAACGACGTGTAGGAGCATGGGCATTAAAGGAAGGTCGTACTTTTCGTTTATATCTAGTCGTAACACTGGTCGCCAGGACTCCATTCTTGATGCTGCTGGTTGCCAGGTGGTTTAAAACCGTGTGATTGGGATAATTAAGCACACTGTTATCATCCTTCATGGGTGTTGTGCTATTTAATATCGACCGAGCCAGGAACAGGGGTAACATGGGCGGAGCTCGTGAATCCCGGATGACATTGGCAGCCTGATGATACCCCTGGCCATCTTCATTGCGATCAATATCCACCAAAAATTGAGGGATAATATTACGGAAGTCTCCCATTGGGATTTCTTCCTCTGGTTCCTCCTTATCAGATTCTTCAGGCGATTCGGTGGTGTCAATAGGTAAGGATTCTGGGAGGACTTTGGGAGGAAATATTTCGGGTGGTATTATGACTTTAGGTGGCTTATCGCTTTCTCTCCGCGGCCGCTCAATTTCATCAGCGCTTATTTCAATGTAGTTAACTAAATGATTGGTAAAGTCAACTGCTGTAGGTAGTTGATCCGACGTCCTCATAGTTCCATCTACTATAAACTTTAGATGATGCGTGCCAGGTCGCAGCTGAAGCACCGTGGTAAAAAGTCCACTTTCAATATCACTGTAATAAATCGGTTAACTAGCCATTTCTCACGCTTATTTCACCTCTTCCGTGATAGTAGGTGGATGGTAAACAACCTTTTGTGTAATTTGAACTTCCTTGCCCAGTTCACAAATGTACCAGTCACATAAACTTTCTCGCCGCCACCTCTCCAGTCGATAGTTGTGGGAACAGACTTGTTAAACCCCGTTGGGACAATGGAGTCTAGTTCGTCTTGGACAACGTCGTCTTCATCAATCGCAGGATCCAGCTCTGACTTCTCGGACGACACCTCCAGATTGGCCTTGTCGAATGCCATGGCTGCACCTAGCGAGCCACTTGTAATCGGGGAGCCGGGTGCAGTCATAGCATCTCCGATAGGTAGGGGTAGTCTTGGTGGGCGTGTGAGGTTCGAGGGGTTAGCATAGTATATGTTGACAGGCCTCGGAGTCGAGGCTTCACCCTGATCCCGATATGCAGCGACATTGTCAGGTACCTGCACAGCCTGGGGCGGGTGAACGGCTTGTGATCCCCTGGATTGAATCGGAAGATCATACTGGTCGCCCTCACGATGCTTTCTTGAATTATGACGTTCCAGTCTCTCCCCGCCACCGCTACCCATGGGTGTCTCAACAGTCCGTGACTGAAGCCGCTGGTGAACGGGAGTTTGCTGTTTTAGAGCAGCATGGTGTCCGGTAGCGCTCTCTCTCGAGTGTGACGGGTCTGCCGCTGGCGCCTTTGAACCCGACAACGCTTGTATAGAGGTCCGGCGGTTCACTTTCTTGTCTGCTCCGGCCGTTGCGCCGGGGGTTTTCGAAGGGGCATTCCCCATAGTTTTCACGCTTCAGTCACTCATAAAATGGTGGAGGAATTAAACAGCACTGCTAGGTCAGCTCGAGAGCACACCGGCTCAGTTTATTGCACCTTGAGAGTCGATAGAGGGAGTTATGCGGCATCCCTTTTGTTTTTTTTTTATCTTTACATCGTTCAAATCTTTAAAGGAGAAGAAGTAGAGCAGAGAGACTTACCTATTTAGGGCTTAGGCTCAAAAAAATCACAGGAACATAATTTTTCCGTTTCCGGACCAACTTCGATCTGATAAAACGCGAAAGCAAGAGAAAAGCAGCTTCTTGTATGTTGTTACATCTTTCTTATATCTATTTGTGTTGGTAGATAGCCCGCTATCATAGTCTTCTCTTTGGCTACGAAAGGGTTTGACTACTTGAGGATGCAAAACGCCATCTAATACCAGGCGGTGTCGACAACCTCACGCGACCTACATATGAAGTGATAAACCCTGGTTTTAGGGCGTTGATAATACCCTCAACACAGGAGCAACATAATACTGTCTAGGTCTGTGTCTGCTAGTTACAATGTACGGCCAGGGGCAGATGGCAACCCATCTAGGGGTTACTATCTCTGCAATTGTGGTTCTGGGATTGCCTCTATACCAGCTCGGTATACCAGACCTACACCAGCTCCATACGATGGGTTGGGCGTCGATTATTAGGACCCTGGCGTATTATACTGTTTACCCTCTTGTATTCTTTTCAAGTATATTTATTTCTACCCTGAGGTTCCTAGCAGCACCACTGATCGAACTTTCATCCCACCTGCTGTACATCAGTCTTCTGCCGTGGCGTATGTCTACTAAACTCGAGGTATGTAGTGGACCCTTGGTTCCATCTTTTGTCTAGATGTCTTTTGATTCTACTCTACTGTTTATGGATCCATTTCATTTCAAGATGGATCCCTGCGCTAACCCCGAATATAGCCTCTGTACAAATTCTTCGGTGTTGCTGCAGTAATCGGTGTAGCTACAGGCTGGGCTCTCTACCTCTTTAGTACTTACGTTTTCCTTTTGCTTAATCTGTCTCCCAGTCCCCGGGCTGTTTCAAGCCACTGGAAAAAGCATGGGCAGAGTCGGACAGGCGGGTTCTCTGCGAAATCAGACTGGGCCACGCAGTTCGTCAATAACAGTGACAACAAGGATGATTTCCCGTGGAGGCCGACGAGAGAGTCAACTCTTGATGATCCTCCTGAACTGTCCGGCCTCAGATATCGTCGTTCAATGGCTACCAAGATGTCATCATCGTAGCTGAGCTTGAAAGATCTATGCCCAGAAAGTACGGATTAGGCCTCGACAGGACAGAGGATATGTTTGGGACGCACGGCGAGACTGACAGTCTAACAACATGAGCAAATTGCGGGCAACATCATCTCGGATTATTACCCAGTCATTGAAGGGGTTGCTTTTCCCCCTCTACTAATAGCATCCTTAATTTCATGTACTATATAAGAAGAACGACTCGACACTAACTATTAATAGACAGAGAAACACGTCTATGTCTCATGTCTTCAAACGAGAAGAGCCTCCTCTCCATCTCTCCTCCGTCCCTACTTGTCCACATATTTAAGCTGTCTCACAGTTCGTATAGACGATCATGTGACTGCAACTTCGGCCTTCGACTTTTTTGTTTTTTCTTTGCTTTTTGCTAAGCTTGGCTTAATCCTTAGCATTTCATCTCAGCCGTTGGACGAGAAGAATGTCCAAGTTTCTTCTTCCTACATCGACGTAGGACGAGGAACTCGATCTTCATCCTCTCTCTCCCCTTTCCTCCCCACTCCGCGAGATGTGAAAGATATCTAACGCTCGCTCATCATCACGACGTGGAAGGCGACGATCTCCTTCAATAGAGCTGTAGGTCTTGACTCTATCTGTCTCCTTAGCTGACATTGGTTATGATGCCTATGTGCGTATCCACCAAAGTAAATAATATTACTGACTCGATAAAATCGGATTCCAATAGAAGTCTACTTCCTGTCGTCAAAGGGGAAAAAGTGCAGAGGATATATCGACCATGTCACTTCGTACACGGTTACGGTTTGCTGTGACCGGCGGTATAATCTTGATAGTGCTATTGTACCTGTCGAATAATCGGTGGACCGTGCCAGCACTGGGGTACCATAAGAGCCCTGTTCATGCGCCATCAAGACCCGTCGAGAATATCCCAGAGCTCCATGCTTCCTTCTGGAGCGCATTCCAGCCGGTGTTAGAGCGATATGCACCTACCTGCGAGCCGCCGAAGCAAGAGGGTAAAGCTTTGATGAAAGATATTGGCTTTTATCCCGACCGCAATGATCAGAAACGACCGGATCATATGAGAATGCCTATCAAGGACGTGGAACTGATGAAGAAGCTGCACACTGATTTTGTTGTCGAAGTTAACAGTGGCCGCCATAAGCCGTTCTACGCACCAGGTACCCGTGGTTTGGTGTCTACGGCGGGAGGTAGTTACCTACCTGTTCTGACTGTTTCCCTCCGCATGCTCCGGAATAGGGGCTGCTCCCTACCGATGGAAGTTTTTCTGGCCACAAACGACGAGTTCGAACCATACATCTGTAACGAAGTGTTCCCTGCACTGCAGGCTAAATGTGTCGTCCTCGAGAATATGCTCAAAGCTGCACCTAAGAAAGTCAAAATCTCCCACTACCAGTACAAGATATTTGCGATGCTCTTTGCCTCATTTGAAGAACTTCTCTTCCTTGATGCGGATGCCTTCCCCCTCCACGACCCTAACGAACTATTCCACAAGGAACCGTTCTCCTCCGGAAAGATGGTTCTGTTCCCTGACTTCTGGTCCTCGAGCGCATCGCACCAATACTACACTATTGCTTCTTCACCAATCCCCAATATGAATGAACGAGCCTCCACTGAATCCGGGGAAATCATGCTTTCAAAGAAGCATCATGCAAAGACGCTGCTGCTTGCTGCATACTATAATGTTTATGGCCCAGGCTACTATTACCCACTCCTCTCCCAAGGTGCCGCTGGTGAAGGGGATAAAGAAACTTTCCTCACAGCAGCTACAGCTGTCGGTGATTCTTTCTACCAAGTGAGCGAGCGCCTTCGCGCAATCGGACATCACTCACCAAACGGCATGGCTGGTTCGGCCATGGTTCAATTTGACCCAACCGAGGATTACGGCCTGATTCAAAAAGGACTTTGGCGCGTCAAGAACGAATCTGTCGCCCCATCTCCTAGACCATTCTTTGTCCATGTGAATGTTCCAAAGTTCAACCCTGCTACAATCTTCGATGACCACCCAATCGACCCCGTTCGGGACCACACCGGCAAGTTCATTCGACCATGGACCGTACCGGAAGAAACTATAAAGCAAATGGGTGAAGGCGTCGAGAGACAGTTCTGGACGGAGATGAAGTGGGTTGCCTGTGAGCTGGAAAAGAAATTCAAATCCTGGGAGAAACTTGAACGGGTCTGTGAGAGTATGATGAAATATTGGAACGAGGTCTTTGAGAAAAAGCCAAAGCAATAAGCAAAATTTGATTTCTTACATCCGCCTTTTTCATTTTTCGCTATATTGTATCTTTATGATAATTGGAGCAAGCCAGCTTTTGACTCCGTTTAGAGTGATTTGGGTGATATGACTGATAACTGTACATTTTGGGATATGATGAATGAACTTTCTTTGTATATAAGTTTTCCCACTTCCTACATTAAAGTTACGAGTATCCCAGTTCTATTTTACAGGTGCTACATGATCTATAGTACAATTAATTCACAGGTCGTTTCTCCCTTTATACTTCTCGTCCACCCATTCTACCTTCTCTAACATCTCTTCGAACATCTCCCGACACCTCACTCTGCTACCTAGTCGGGCACAGAGCAAAAAGGCGCCACTTAGCTTCCGATGTAAACTGTATGTCTCTTCAGGCGGTGGAGACAAGCGTTCACGCAGCATAAGCGGGATAAACTCTCGAACCCTATCGGTGATGGTTTGATCATTAAAATCATATACCTCAGGGGAAGATTTCATAAACGGTTCCGCAATAGTTATGATAGATGATACGTGGGCATTGACCATCGCCTCCGATTCAAAACCGGTAAGATAACCTAGTTCCTGGGAGAGTTCACGGCATTTCTCACGTTCATTCCGAGATGCGGCGGCAAGCAGCCTAACGTACAAGGAGATAAAAGCAGCAGGATAAGCGCGAGAAGCCCCGAAATCAAGAAGCTCAAGGCGATTGGTAGTGGAGTTATAGAGGAAATTGGTCCAATTGGGGTCAGTTTGCATGTACCTGAATTCGCCAATTTCTCGAAGACATAGCCGCATGATTTGAGAGCCTATCCAGTCACGTTGAGACTGCGTGAAGGACTGGATCCGGGTCACTGCGATGCCATCCAAACGTTCCATGGTGAGAACCTGTTTCCCTGAAGCATATGATATAATTTCGGGCACAGTAAAGATGTCGGTATCATCCTTGAGCAGTTCCTTGAATTTACGGCCACATTCTGCTTCACGAATATAATCACATTCCCACGCAAGCTCAGTCCGGGCGTTCGCGATTGTTTTCTCGAGATATAAACCTTTGGGAAGTAGTCGAGATGCAGTGAGGAGGATAGACAAGTTATTTAGATCTGAATCTATGGAGTCTGCAACTCCAGGGTATTGAACCTTCACGGCAACACGTTGTCCTGTTTCCTTTAGGATGGCTCCGTGTACTTGTCCAATCGATGCAGCAGCCATGGGGATCTCATCAAAAGTCTCAAATAGGTCTCTCCAATTAGGGCCCAAGTTATCCTTGAGGACCTGATCCCTTTGAGACTGTGGCATGTAGTTTGCCCTGTCTTGCACACGCTGTAATACTTGCTGAATCGTCTCAGGCATAATTTTAGAATCTACAGGACACAATCAGTATGGTCCAGGCCCCAAAGTTGTTCAAAAAGTACCAGCTCACCTTGGAGGCTTAGCATCTGGCCTAGCTTCAGAGCCGCTCCCCTCATTTTGGATAATTTAGCAACAAGCCTTTCTACATTGGCAGGACTGAGTAACAAAGACCCCGAATCATCGCCTCCAGTAGCACGACGGAACCCAGCACCAACAACACCTATGGCCATCGAAGTTGCCAGGCCACCATATTCCCATAGCCGTCCGATTCGAGAGGATGGGACTCGGGATTGAACCATTTGATACGTATCTTGGGGCGCAACAACATTGACATCCTTTTCAACATGATCCCGCTTTTCAATTTCACCTGGAATGTTCAGCTCAGCATCCTGAGCTTCCGTAATAGTCTCTGTGACGACTTCAGAACAGGTTGGCCGGGAATGTGGCATCGACATAGAGCCTAATTTGAACTTGCTTTGTCCCGTCTTGTGAGGTTGGCCTTGGAAAAGGGATCTTGTTACTTTTCGGCTCCTGAACAGTTGTTGCATCATTTCCTCCGGAAGTTCCTCCTCCTTTTCTTTAATCTCCGGGCTCAAGGTGTCTTTAAGTGTAAAGTCAGCCCCTCTCTCTGTACCAATAGCTGTGGCTCCTATAGACTCTGTAGTGATATCATTCTTCCTGGGACTATCATCCGTCCCCTGCTGGGAGCTGCCTGTGCCCTTTTCGCTGCCATGATTGCGATTTCTCGGCGTAAAGCTAGGTGCAGGATCGTCGTCGAGCTTCTTCGCTAGGTCAGAAGCTGCTTGTACCGCAAGACCAATCCGTTGAATTTGATTTTTCGCTTCTTTGGTTAATGATGATGTCCTTGCATGGTGGTCAAGGGCATGCCTCTGTAGCACTATGTGCTTTTTTGCGACGCCGCGGGACGCATTGAGAAATGTGATGGCGTCGAGGAGACGGCGCCCGGACATAGCAGCAGCACGGATTATAGATGTGTCACTCCCAACCGCATCTTAGACCAACAACCAAGAGGAAGATGTAATATTCGTTTAACTTGCTTGGTTGGTATAATTTGCCAAGGCGGTGAGAAGCTTCCGTGTTTTCTGCCGAAGAACTCGATAAGAAAACAGATAAGAAACATCCTCCTCCTTCTCACTCTCTTCCTTGCCGCATATTAGATAGCACGGCATATGAAGCACTTTCTTTCTGCTTTAATCAGTTTGAGCTAGAGACGGCTCGATGACGGTCAAGGGACTCAAGGATAACCGCCAGGAGGTACACAGAGGACTGCAGCCCTCGTTTAGCGCAACGATTCCGACCCGGCTGTCGAACCGGCAGACGACCAGAAGCTCAGCCGTGGATAAGACTCAGGGTACGTCCATCATCTACAGAAGGATGGCGACTGTATTAGAGATGAAGACCTGCAGCTAATTACCATGTCTTGTTTTATATAGTACCCAACTTTGAGTCCATCCCAATTTCCCATTCTCTCCTCCTTCTCTCAGACTCCGCGCTTCCCTTAGGCTCTTTCGCCTACTCAAGCGGGTTGGAATCATATATTGCTCACAACAAACCCCTGCCCTCGCATATAACCCCAGTCACATCTTTCAACTGGTTCCTCTCGCTTTCTCTTGCGTCGATCGCGAGCACCACGATCCCCTACCTACGCCGCGCGCATACGCATCCCGAAGAGCTGGAAACATTAGATAATGATCTCGACGCATCGACACCATGTACAGTCGCAAGACGGGCTAGCGTCGCTCAAGGCCTTGCCCTGCTACAAGTCTGGGAGCGGGCGCTAAAACCATCAGCCATGCAGCGAATTCAAGAGGGCCAGCAAGACAACCAACACCACACTGTGCGCGCCGTCGCAGTGTTGGACCAGTTCTCAGAATCATTGAAATGTGTCGGTATAGATGAAGAACATGATGAAGTCAATGGTGTTGTCAATGGACATTTCGCCCCGTTATGGGCGATTGTATGTTTGGCGCTGGATATTGACCTGGAACAAGCGGCGTACGTGTTTATGCTAAACCATGCCAAGGCAGTTCTCAGCGCTGCCGTGAGAGCGTCTGTTATGGGGCCTTATCAATCTCAGGGTGTGCTTGCTGGCAACACACTCCAGAAGACTATTGCTGAACTCCTACAGAAAGAGTGGTGGACGGAGCCTGAAGACGCAGGACAGGTTGTTCCGATTATGGATCTATGGATGGGAAGACATGAATTGCTGTATAGTAGAATATTCAATTCTTAATGAGTTATGCACGGGATTGTCATGCAGTTGATGTATGAAAATGATGCTATGTTTAGGAGGAGAGAAACGTGTTAAAACTACTTCTCGTTTTATCCGTAAATGGCGGGCCACTGATGCGAATGCTTGGTGGCCTCAAAAAAATTAGTACATAATTGTACATCATACATGTAAACGTGGCGTGAAACTGGAGAAATGGCCTGCTGCTCAACAGACCCTAAGGGACCAAAAAAAAAAAATTGAACACCCCGAGTTTAACGGAAGACAAAGGGTAGAAAACTCCACGTCCGACCAGGCCAAATAAATGGGGGAAAAAAAAAAAAAAAAATTAAGAGACAAAAGTCTTCCCATTGAGCGCCAAATAGCTCCCAAATACCTCTCACAAGAGACAACATCTTTTGGTACCAAAAAAAAAGAATGCCAGGGGTAAAAGTGAATAATAAGGGGTGAATAGCTGCCACAGAAAGGAAGTTTAAAAAATAAGGCATACTGTACAAGAAACAGAATGTGAATAAATAATACTTTAAAGGGTAATATGCATATGGTCATTGCTTCCAAAAGATTTGTTGCAATTGGGGCATTTGCGAGACCGAGAGGTCAATCGCTCTTCAACGCATTCTTTGCAGAAGACGTGGCCACATGTCTTGATGACAGTATTCTTGAAATTTCGTCGGCAGACTGTGCAAAGTGCGAGAGACTAAAGAAATGTTTTTGGTTAGCATAGATAGAGTGAAATTCCAAGAGACAGTTGTGTCTTACCCTGAGCATCTCGTATTCAGAAGTGTTATTTCCCAAACCACGGTTCATCCACGACTCCAAGCTCTTCTTAGTGTCGGAAAGAGTAACCTTGAGGCCCTCAACCTCGCTCTCAGCCTTTCGGCAAGTATTTGTGGCTGCTGTAAGCGTCGCATCTTTGGTCGCTAATTGGTTTTTTAGCTCGGTGACTTGTGATTTCAAACCTTGGATGACAATGGTGGCTTCGTTGACTTGGTGCTGAGATGTTCGATATTGATTTGTTAGAGTAAGCAACGCTTCTTTCGTCTCGCTTAGCTGCTTTTCAACATTTGAAACAAGAGTCCTGGTTGCTGCCTCAGCTTCCTTAAGTTGTGAGATGATATCTGAACTCTTCATGTTCTGCAACCGAAGAGACCTTAGCTCTGCATCCCGAGCTTCTTTGCTCTGCATAGCCGCAAAGTACTTCTGATCAGCCTTAGACTTCTCAGCCATCAAGCGTTGGGCTTTATCTTCTGCAGCAGCCGTATCAGCAATTTTTTGAGAAGCTAGCTTTGAGGACTTTCGGAAAGCCATCTGCATGGATGATAACTCCATATTGAGCATTTCATACTGCTTTTCAAGGGTATCAAACTTAGTCCGAAGCTCTTCAGGTGACAATTCGCTCGTGCTTGGCCGGGTGTCCTTAACTCCATCGATTTGTAGTTGTACTCTTTGTACTTCCTGCTCTAAGGACGTAATTCTGCATTCTCGGGCCTCTAACAATTCTTTTAACTGGGTTAGTGAGGCTCTTTCCTGATCTTCTGCAGCCTTCCGCATCTGCAGATCTGCCAACAACTCGTCTCGCGCATTTCGAATTCGAGCAAGGTTAGTTTCCGTTTTTGATAGCTGGGCTTCTTTTTCCCCAATAGTGGTCTGGGCCTCGTTTTCAATTTGAACTCGGTATGCGGTCCGCTCGGCTTGAAGTCTCTCGGCTTCCTCACGTAGCTGAATATTAGTGGCTTCTAAATGGTTGATTCGTTGAATTACATCCTCATGCTGAGATTTTAATTGCTTAAACAGGTCGCAATGGGCATAATCCTCATCAGAAAGTTTTGAAAGCTAAAAGCTATTAGTGGGCGTGCTCAATTAATGTAAGTTAGGGTAAGCAGGTACCTTGACATGGAGCTCCGTAATCTGGGTCAGCAGCTTCGAGTTGTCTGTTTCAAGTTTTTCAAGCTGTTCTTTTTGCTTGTTGGAAACGGCAAGGGTAGTATTATACAGCATTTCCATTTCAGTGGCCTTTTCCGGGTTATCTGTTGTTCCATTAATAGATGGTCCTTCCTCTCGCTTTGTAGAGGTATCGCCGGACTTATGGGGACCGAGAATATGTTGCTTTTCGAGCCTTGCAACGGTGAGACTTTTAGCCCGATCTATCTTCTTCTCCGCTACCATATATCTCAGTGATGCTGCCTCCAGTCGTTCTTCAAGTTGTTGTTTTTCTGCAATCGCTTTCTCAATTGCTACATTGACAGCTTTTTCATCCGCGAGTTTCTTTGCCAGTTTAGACTGCAAGCTTGTGATATCCGGAGTGGCCTTGGCCGCATTTGAGAGAAGGCGAGATATTGAATCTTTAATTTCAGCTGCACGGTCTTGTAGGTGCTTCTCGAATGATTCATGGCCAGTGAAGAGCAACGATGTCTGGTACGTGGGGTTGTCTAACTGAACGTATTAACCTAACGTCGTCAATTGAAGGATATGGAGGTGTTAAGTAGAGACGTACCTTCAGTCGATTCATCTACCGAAGACGATATAACTTTGACTTCATCAATTAACTATCGAACACACTTAGCCCACTGTACATTTCAACTCTTGAACGGTGGGTTGGAAATACCTGTTTAAGCCAAGCATCGACAACACTAACGTGTTCCTCGTTATACGCCATCTTCTTAGATAAATCCTTTATCCGGGATTCGAGAGTTGTTTTCTCGCGTTTATATTCTTGCATCTGTCTCCAGATTGCATCCTTTTGGTATCGCTGTTAAAAAAAAGTCAATATGTCAGCATATTTCGGCCAAATGAAAAAAAAATGGCAAAGATAAAAAAAATAACAATAATACAAATCTGGCTTATATCTAGAGGAAATACACCATTCTGCCCACAGGCATGTAACTAAAAACTATAGTATAAGACACTTCTTACCTCGAGATCATCGCGCCATGGCATATCAGTGTCAGGGTGCGCCTTGACTCCTCCATTCACAGCAGTGGCTTGTTTCTTCAAGGGAGGAGCTGAATCACCGGGATCCTGGGTAGCAAGTCGCTTGCGGTCCTCCATTTTAACAACAAGGCCGGATTTGGGTAGAGACACCGCAGGGGATTCGAGAGCCGTCATGGGGGTTGGAGGGAGACTAGGAATGTGTGGCCACTGACAGCAGCGAGGAGAGTAAAGAGCGTGAGCCAGCAAAGCAGTCCTGCAAAATTCCCACCGAGGAGGAAAAGAAGAAGAAAAATCTAACTAGACACCACGATGACGGCCAGGGAGTGCTGAGGATATGAACAATGAAAAAGATGCTGGAAACAGATTGCGAGGTTGAAGATCCAGTTAAAGGAGGATTTTCCCCGTCCCAGGCTTAGCGCTCGTTCTTGGCAAATATGTCACGTGATGTTATCGTGGTGGGTTTTTTTTTTTTTATATGTATTAAAAATGAGGAAGAAGAAGAGAAAGATTACGCAGGAGGATGAAGAAGTTGGTAGACGGATATGTAACGGTCTTCGCAGACGGGAGTGATTAGATAGGGATAATCAAGAGAGAGTGGCTGCAATTCTTTGCTGGGGGACGGACTGCCATAACATGTTGTTATTCTCTGGCTGCTTGTGTAGAACGCCTGGTGGTCTCGCTTAGTTGACCTGGCCCATGGAACTCACCCCTCGAGGAGCATTGCCATGGAGGGGTTTTGCATGCGACCTGAGACCGGGAGCTTTCTTGGGTTTTTTTATGGAGTCGTGAGAACCATAGTATGTAAGGGGGAAAAAGAAAAGAAAAAGAAAAGAAAAGAATTGCCGTTTCGCCCAAGTTCAAAAGCTTATCGCATGATTAGATAAGCTTCGCTCGTTCAACTTATTTTTTTTGACAGGTTCATCCCACTACGTTTGGAGTCATTTCGCTCAGGGATAGCCATCGTTCCGATACGGCTTGTGATATCCACGAAAGAGCAGACAAACAGTCATGGCGCAACCATCAACAGCTGCCGGTGATGCTACGAAAGCAGCACCGAAGATGACGAAGCGCAAACGGATCGAGGATACGGCTGCGGAGGTGGTGCAGGATGCAGTGCGCGAGAAGAAACCACGAACGGCGAGGAAGAGAGCAGCCACCCCAGAAAACTCGGAGTCGATAGAGATCGTGTCCGCAGTGGTGACTATGTCAGACCTCTGCCGTGACCTGCGCACAGGGAAAACCTCCAAACGCGAAATGGAGCTGAGAACAATGGATTGGGCTGAAATAGCGAGGAAGAAGAAAGAGAGAGAAGAAAGAAAGAAAGGTGCCGGTGAAGACCAAGGCGCCAAGAGAGATTGTACGGGCTCCTCGAAGCCTGCAGAGAAAATGATGCGCCGGTCAACCGAAGTTGCTGGTCCACAGATGAGAATTGTCAACGGAGAGATTGTGCTGGACACGTCTTCGCTGCAGATCGATCGCCATGCAGATGCGGACAGAAATGCAGACGATATGGAAGAAGTTGAAGAAAACCCACTCACACGACGTATAAACGCAGCATCGTTCGGGAAACGGACCAAGCTCGAAACCTGGGACGAAGCGGCTACGGATCTATTTTATAAAGGGCTGAGGATGTTTGGTACTGACTTTATGATGATCAGCAAAATGTTCCCTGGCCGGACGAGGCGACATATAAAGCTGAAATTCTCCAATGAAGAACGGCGGGAACCAGAGCGGATTAAGAGGACGCTATTGGGTCCGAGGGAGCCGGTTGATTTGACGAATACAGTCTATGACGACCCTAGAGCCATACAGAAGGAGCTAGATGAGGAGAAGAGGAGAATCGAGAATGAGCATGCTGAAGAGCAGATGGCGCGTGAAGAACAGCTTCGGAACCCTGGCGGGAAGTCTGGTGATAATGTAATACCCAGTATTGAGAATGAAACTCCCGATGCCCGTAGACGGCGGGAGAAGAAAAAGGCCGAAAAGGCGAAATTCGGAGGAGGTACAGAGGAGATTCTTGGCTCCATCGACGATTGATACAGTGTCGCATTTCCGGACCGCAGGTTTTATACATTACTTCACTACCATTGACGTTCTTGATTCTGTAACATAGTCTGGAAGGGTTAAACATTCTTTCTAGTAGATATTATTGCTTTAATTTTTATGATGCCACATAACTGAGCGTCCTTCTCCATATATTCAGTATAGCCACCACAAAAGCAAACTCCTTAACTTTACAATAGATCACCGTCGTCTCGTACCTCCAAATCCAGTGCTCTCTCTAGTAGAGGCTGAGTAGGATGGTCCTGCAGTAGCATTATTGCCACCAGACATAAAACTACTATTTCCTCTCCGCGCACCGCGCCCCATCACATATCCTGCCGCTGTGCCACCCAAGGCACCGGTCCAAAAGCCGGGCCTCCATGATTGGTCATCCTTTGCAAATCTGGATTGGGGAGAGTCATATGGAGGCGGGGGACCTGGAGGCCACCATCCTCCGCCCCCTCCCCCTCCGCCATTCCTACCCCATCTTTGACTCTGAATGCCAGTGCAGTACTGGAGCAGTTTAACAATGACCATGAACAGGCCAAAAAACATAGCCATACGGGTGAGGGTAGACCATATTGATTCATCATTGCCTCTGTCGTGTGGGATGTGACCGTACCGCTTTTCTCCCATACGAGTAAGCAACAACCTATATTCCACGCCGCAGCTGCCTTTCAGGATCCATGGGTCTTCAGAACTTCGATAACCTTCACAAATCACATCTGTACCTCCAAGCTTGAATTCTGGCGGTAGTTGCGCGGTGCAGGTCCATTGCACATCATTTTCATCATAATCGTATCCTTCGTTAGTACAGCGAATGATGTCCGGCTGGTAGAGAGAGCAGACTTCCTTGGACGGTCCAACACATTTGAGCTGGGGTATCGCAGAGACTCGGCGGTGGCTAGTTTTGCGATTGGCGTGGAAAGTAAGGGTGTGTACATCTGATAGAAGAACCGCGTTCCTTGACGGAGACTTGGTGGAGCTGTATGAGGCTGCAGGTGCCAGGAGGGTTGAAAGCGCAAGGAGACATGTTGCGGCAAACATTGCCACTTAAGCTATGGAAAATAGAGGCGAGTAATCCTGTGAGCCGTCTCTTTCACATTTGATCAATACTCCAAGAAGCTCACCATATGGCGGCTAGCCGTATTTATCCCCTTCGTCAAGGACAAGTGGCCTTCTCTTCAGGCAGAAACATAAAAAACTTTTGATGACGGAGCGATGGAAGGGCCACGCGCCAAGAGATAAGATCGATCTGATAAGAGCACGGACCTCTTCAACTTACACCAAAATCCATTTCTTTTCCACAGCAAAGACAACGGGCAATTCTCATCTCCAGCACCAACCCTTCCCGGACGGCGCAAGATAGGAAGAAAATGGGTGGGTAAGGTATATGTAATTACAATGTCCAGCCCGCAAAGTCCGTGAACCCCAAAACACGTTGGTAGTTCTTGAGCACACTAACTAATCATCACCACCTTCTAGATACCTCCTGCCCACCCTCGCAGCATTCGTGAGTCCGCGATCCCCCTCTGTTGTGTAGATCAGACGTTAAAATTCTCCTCCAGGCTGTCATTTACGCAAGGCCTACTCCTCGGCCAACTCTCTGTCGTTCTCTTAATCGGCGCGTTCATCAAATTCTTCATCTTCGGCGAATCCCCGTCTTCGTCCTCCCGGGGCATCTCACAACGCACTGCCCCTCGCAAACGGTCATACTCTGTAAACAGTACTCTTTTTAGAGATGCAGCATCAAGGTCTCTGAAAGAGTCAGCCTCGTCAAACGTCTTACGCCCCGTTCCCTCATCTTCCACGAACACAAAATCTATCCTTCGAAAGACCTATTACAACGCCATCCCAACCAACTTCCAGAAAAACAGTCGCCATCGTCTCCACCATTCGACACATCAGCCTGAATCGCTGGACTGGTTCAATGTTTTGATTGCCCAATTGATTGCACAGTACAGACAGACTGCATATATACTTAAAGACTCGCCCACATCATCTATTCTTGACTCCCTTACGGAAACCCTCAATAATGTGGATAAGAAGCCATCATGGATTGATAGGATCAACGTCACAGATATTTCAATTGGTGAAGAGTTCCCAATCTTCAGTAACTGTCGTGTTATCGCTGTGGAGGATCCAAATTCGGATGGGGGACGGCTACAGGCGCTGATGGACGTTGATCTGAGCGATGACAACTTATCCCTTGCTATTGAAACTAACCTACTACTAAACTACCCAAAGCCCGCTTCCGCCGTACTACCAGTCGCTTTGTCGGTATCTGTTGTGCGGTTTTCGGGTACCTTATGCATATCCTTCGTGCCTAGCCCTGGTACAACAGAGAGCAGTCCCCACCTACCTCATCCAGAAAACCAGAATGAATCTAAGCCCAGCCGACAGGACCCCGAAATACCCACTAATAAGGACGGAGTCAGGTCAGGGATACCAAAAACAAGCCTTGCATTTTCATTCTTACCCGACTATCGTCTAGATATTTCCGTTCGGTCTCTCATCGGATCACGAAGCAGACTTCAAGATGTCCCCAAAGTTGCGCAGCTCGTTGAAGCACGAGTTCAATCATGGTTCGAGGACCGTGTCGTGGAACCCCGGGTACAGCTGGTTGCGCTGCCCGGTATATGGCCACGAATGGGACGAACTGGTGTCCGAGCCCAGGAAGATCATGATGCTGTTTCTATCGATTCAGAAGACCCAGCAACAAAAGCTACACATAGTGGATTCACTCCCGTTAATGCAAACCGTGACGGACTACAAGCTTCAAGGGATCTAAACATGGAGGGATTGAGGTATCGGAGGGGTAACGCAGGGGATGAAGCCACGACAGACGAATATGAACGCCTAACTCGGGGTGATACCCAATCTGTTGGCGAGCAGCTTAGGATTCCTGGCTCATTGCCGGGAGCACCAGCTGTGGCGTAACTATTCAACACGTTTCTTTTTTTAATGGCCGGCACATATACTAGCTGCTATCTAAGAATGCGTAATCTCAAGTATATATTACTACAATAAGTATCAGAAATATTATAAACTATCTCTTCATTTGCCGATTGGGCTTGGAATTCAGAATATCACGCTGTACGGATGCTGACATTAGAACAGAATGACGGTAAGTTAGTCCGCCAAAGCTGCGACATATGTCTGTCGAAATGTGTTATTCTCCAGTGCTGGTTCGCGATTCAAAGGTGTCCACTTGGGTTCATCTTTGAACAATCTCATCGCTTTGATATACTAATCATGACATCATTGAGCCAGCTTTCTAGAAATGTCACTAACAAGAGTGTTAAACTTACATTGTTCTCTCCAGTCGTGAAGCGATGGTATATCCCGGCTGGCAAGACCAGTAGATCCTCCTTTTCAACCTGGATGCGCACCCACTCGTCCCTTTTGCTGCGAACATCGAAGTACCCTTCACCGTCCAAAATATATCTAATCTCTTCATCTTCATGAAGGTGCTCATGGAAGAATGTCTTGACTTTTTCCTCGTACACTGCGCCCATCTTCTCAGGCGAGACAGTAATCTCATCGCGATTCTTGTAACCCCGCTGTGACGCTAGGTCGTTGACATCATCGACAGAGGGACATCGTTGGTATAAAACACCTATCGAGAACAGATAGTCTGTATCAACGGCACGGCCTGAGTCATGAGGTGCGCGCTGGTCGCCCTATCGTGAAAATGGGTATTAGCTGTGCTTGATCGTTGTATTCTGATAGCGGGGTGATTGAATCAGCAGCAAACCAACGCAGTCATACCTCAGCATTATCATACCAATAAGCCCTCATTGTGAGTCTAACAGATAACTTTAGAGACAGTTATGGTATAATTCAATAACTTCTCGGATGAAGGCGTAGAGCTGGCATGAAGATAATTAATATCTACTGCGTTCATCTGCCCTTAAAGAGTTGACGAGATACAAAATCATCGTGATTGGCCGACAGTTAAAGTTTCTCCGCACTAAGGCTTGGCATTTTTACTTTCTTTTCTCCGAGCAAAATTTATATCATTTAAAAACCGACTGCGACACTTAATATTATTGAAGAGTTGTCAGCAACTGGGTGTTAGCCTAGTTGATAGAGTTGTGGGAGTCACAATGATAAGGGCGCAGGTGCCCAGGGCTCTTTCTCGCCTACATGGGATTTATTCGGCTCATAAACCCCTTCAACGGAGCTTCGCGACTGTCGGAGAAAGCACTCGGTTTGTTCTACATCTTCTCTGCTAAATAGCATCTAAGTACTAATTTATCTCTTCTTCAAGTCAGTACGATGTCATAGTCATCGGAGGGGGCCATGCGGGTTCAGAAGCATGTACGGCAGCTGCTCGTTCTGGCGCGAGAACCGCTCTTATAACGCCTTCTCGGTCGGACATTGGCGTTTGCTCATGCAACCCAAGCTTTGGTGGGATAGGAAAGGGAACGATGATCCGTGAAATTGATGCACTAGACGGAGTAGCGGGTAGGACAGTTGACAAGGCAGGGATCCAATTTCGGATACTCAACAGATCGAAGGGCCCAGCCGTATGGGGCCCACGAGCGCAAATCGATCGGGCACTCTACAAGAAGTATATGTTGGAGGAATTATCAAATACGCCTGGACTCAGCATTGTGGAAGGCAAGGTGGCAGATATTGTCATATCAAAAGAAAATGTGAAGAACTTGAATGGGCCTCAAGGCGAGATCGTAGGGGTCAGACTGGAATCAGGGGAAGTGATACCTACAGGGAAGGTGATAATCACGACTGGCACTTTTCTTGGTGGAGAAATACATATTGGACTAGATGTTTTCCCATCAGGCCGTATGGGTGAGGCAGCTACCTTTGGCTTGAGCAACTCCCTCCGTGAGGCAGGTTTCCAGCTTGGCCGCCTCAAGACAGGAACACCACCAAGATTAGATCGCAAGACTATCGATTTCAGCACTCTCGAACCCCAGCTAGGCGATTCGCCTCCCAGCCCTTTTTCGTATCTCAACAACTCAGTGCAGATTGGAGATAAAGGTCAACTGAACTGCTGGTCGGCCTATACAAACGAGGCGTCTCACGATGTTGTGCGTGAAAACCTGGACAAGTCTATTCATATTCGCGAAACTGTTAATGGGCCACGTTACTGCCCTTCGCTTGAATCAAAGATTATTCGATTTAAAGATAAATCTAGGCATATGATTTGGTTAGAGCCAGAAGGACTTGCGCCAAATGATGTGATATACCCAAACGGAATTTCAATGACTATTCCAGCCGACGCCCAGGAGAAGATGTTACGCACCGTTCGTGGACTAGAAAACGTAACTATGCTTCAGCCTGGTTATGGAGTGGAGTATGACTACGTTGACCCTCGGTCATTGCTTCCTACTCTTGAAACCAAACTTATCAGCGGGCTATACCTTGCTGGACAGATAAACGGCACCACCGGCTACGAAGAAGCTGCTGCACAGGGTATCCTTGCCGGTATCAATGCGGGTTTAGCTTCTCAGTCGAAACCACCAATGATACTCTCTCGTGCAGATGGATTTATCGGTATCATGGTAGACGACCTTATTACCAAAGGCGTGTCTGAACCGTACCGTATGTTTACAACCCGAAGCGAATACCGTATTTCTACACGTTCAGATAATGCAGACTTACGTCTTACGGCTAAAGGACGAGCTGCTGGTGTTGTATCCGACAAGCGTTGGCGCCACTTCACCGAGACCAAGGAACAACTGTCCCATCTACGGACACTTCTAGAAAACACTCGGCATCCCTCTACTCTCTGGTCGCGAAAAGGATTCCCTGTTCGCACAGACTCATCTGTTCGGTCTGCTTTTGAACTCCTTTCACATAACGGCATTTCACTTGATGATATTATCCCACACATTGACTCCTCCCCTGCTGTCCTCCACGCCCTTTCTTCATTCTCGCCTGAAATCAGGTCCCGAGTGGCTATTGAAGGCCGCTATGCTCCGTACACTAAACGACAAGAAGTAACCGCTCTCTCGTTTGAGCGAGATGAAAACATGCTTCTCCCTCCCGACATTGACTACAGCAAAATGCTCGGCTTGAGTACGGAGGAACGTCAGGCGCTAGAGAGAGTTCGTCCTGTAAGTATAGGAATGGCTCGCCGCGTTGAAGGCGTAACCCCTGTGGGTGCCCTGAAGCTGCTCATGCATGTTCGCAAGTTGAGGTTGCTTGAACTTGGAAATGATGAGACCTCTTGCAATGGCACCGATGAGGGTATAAACACAGCTACCGCCTCATCACTCTGACCTTATCTCTACTATTTATATACCCATGGACCCTTGTCCTTTTCTAGCGTGTTGTACTTACTAGTCTCCTTTGTGGTATACTTTTTTTTACCTTTATCTTTGGGGTGCATAGCTTGGAATAGATTATATGGCACACGGCATCTGCATTGTACGATATTGGCGTGACGAAATTAAATATATAATGATACCTCTTTAAATTTTTCAAAGCACTATCCAAACTGTCTATCATCTATCCATCCGGTCTAACCGTCTTCCACTGTAAAACCCACCCAAACCATTCATATATGGAGATCCACGGCCCAGATAGCACTCACTGTCCATTCCATACGTAAGTTCGAGCTGTGATCTCTTTCGACGTTTGCCCTGTCCAGCCAATTACCAAATCTTCATCGACGTCTCGAAGAATGACATGGATATGTTCAATGCTTGCTACAGTCTGCCACTTCTTCTTGTTCTTAAACCACATCACCTTTTCCTCCATTATATTATTTGAGTAATTCCCATTTACTTGCTGGTGCCTTTCCATGATCTTTTGAGTGAACGTCCTGTGGACGAAATCTTCGATAAGTTTGCGTGATTCTTCGGTTGGGCCACCTTGACCGTCCTCTTCAACTAGAATTCTAGTCTTCAGCCAAACGACCAGGTGCACAATATTACGCTCAAGGCCATATGGCCAGTCGTTACGAAGAATTTTGTAGTCCGCTGAGTGAGCAAATGGTGTTTCGTTCTGGCATTCAAAGGAGAGGCTAGCGGACGTCTGGGTATCATTGAAGCCTTTCCCCTTGTCGTCCGGGTGCCAGAGTAGCCGTTCTCTTAGTAAAAATTTTATGACAGAATCATTCTTATTTTTCGTCTCTCTGACCCAGAGTATATAGTTCCGCAGGTCAGAGGGTGCTCTGTTCAAGACAGACATGTCCCCCTCGGCTTCAGCGTGTTTCCATGTCAGCATCATTATATCTGAGGGAAGACCTAGACGATCGGATAGCAAAGGAGTCCAGTTACCTATGACACCCTTTATTTCTTGCCAGGTATGGGGAATATATTCCTCATCTGTCTGGCCCAACGATTTCACATCTCCTTCAGTTAGGGGAAAGGGGGAGAGATCAATGTATTCCCGTACGCTCAACATCATGGAATATCAACGTAACAAGTGATATATAGAAATATCTAACACATCTGCTACTCTTTGATCTTCTTTCTGCACTACTGTAGTTATTATTTACAAGAGTTCGACATCTGCCACTTTTATTTATATGCAAAACCCCTCACCTTTTGGGGCATCAACCCCATCCATATTTTCTCGACAGTAAGAAAGAATAGATTTCTTACTACATACACTACAAAGAAAAGTAGGCATAGCCATAGCAGTGAAGAGATCGCTTATCACTAGTGGTATAGGTCCAAAAAAAAATTTGGACTGTCAGGGAATCGAACCCTGGACCACCCCCATGCTAAGGGGGTATTATACCACTAAACCAACAGCCCCTTTGCACGGCTTTCCGGGACTAGTATAGTAATATAGCCGCTTTTACTCTCGAGTAATTATATAAATAATAAATTCTCCTAAAATTATATAAATTCTCGGTATTTTATAAGAATATAGCTACTAGAGGGGCTCTCTAGTATGTGGACTCTGTTACCATTAATACGCTATTGCTTGAATGTGGTGGAAGTCGGGATTTTTCTTGGTTTAGTAATGTGCATACTATGTAATGTTGTTCCGCTCCTTGTGCTACTTTTCAGCCAATCAAAAATATTACTAGACAAAATTTATTGGGCGAGTATAAACCCCAATATAGTATCTCAGTATCTCAACTTATAAAAATAGTGAAGAAGATCTGGTCCGGCCCGGTCCAGCTGATATTATTTCAAGAGCCATGTCCTGTTCCTATTCCAACGATGATGTATAGCAAAAAAAAAAAGTAGGTTTTATTCCCGACCGCCCACCATATCTAGTACCTAAGAACTCTTTTTACTTCCGCCATGCCCAATATCGAGTGGTTTACCAGTTTCCTCGACAAAGAGATGGCATATTTTAATGATGACGCCGTCCCATTATGATGGATGAACCATGAGATTATGGGACAAAAAGGCCTATCTGCCCCATGCCCCATAGGAATATGGACACATAGTGCGAGTCGTACAGAACAACGGATGACTAATCCTGATATATTACACCATACTACACTGAAGTATTCAATAATTATTCAAGATGAGGACACTACACAATACAGAAATGCAAAAAAAAATTGTGACGGTACGTATTTCCCTATCCACTAGTCGATATATTGTGACGTAATAATAATAAATCTATTAAGGCTTAGATTCCGCCCCAGCCTCTATTACCTCAAGTCAGCCCCCTCCAACTATTATTGGAATTACGGCTACGGAGCTTCTAAGTTTCCTACAAAGCCACGAGAATCTGCTACAATTACAAATCGCGTGTCCTTTATTTAGACAGCCATTACCGTCAATTAATATCAATCTCAACTCTTCTATAGAAAGAACTATAAGGATTGAATTTTCACTTAGAGCAAGTGAAGTATTGATAAAACACATTCAATAACGACTACCTAGGTAGTTATTGGGGATTCTGGTAGCTCTACATCTAGATTAGTATGTGAGGCTTACTGCTCTGTCCTCACCCCTTCCTGATATCCTCACTAACAGCCTCACCAGCTTCAATGACCCTGCCTCCCCACTAGTCGCCCGCCTACATAGAATCTCTTTGATTCAGTCGAGTTTACAGATAGTCCAGTTATTTCTGCCTTAGTCTCGCACAGAACATTAAAGAAAGTATTCTTTCTCTGCTAGAAGCTTGAAATCTTGATGTTGAAGGCATATTTAATCATTTTATAGATGAAGTGTTGGTTGGGCAGCTGATCAGGTGAGTGGTGGATGATGTTATTAACATGTGTCCTAGGACTGTAATGAAGGATTAGTGGAGGTAAATGATGTTGGTTTGGTTTCCCTTTGAATGGAAAAAAACTTTCCAGTCGGGTATCTGATTTGAGCCCTGGGTTGCACAAAACTATAACTAAACAACTGAGAGATTGGGATAGCAGGTATCTCATATAAATCTTTGGTTGAGAAGAGTCTCAAAGCCTCTTCTAAGAAAATCAAGCATTTCCCGTTCCAATTTACCCTCTGCCAGATCGTTAGCTATATCGAATATCTCCAGGTTCCCATATTGGTTGCTGGTATGATCCAAAGAGTTTGCTTGTGCCAATTCAACGATCTTCTCAACAAATTTAGTAAGAATCCCAAATCTGCATATAGGGTCCTCGGCTGCAATAAGCAGGTTCTCGACAAATAGGGATTTTTGTGTCGTGGATGACCCTTGAGAAGCAGGGGTATAAGATTCAACCAAGTCCCCCTGTAGAGATAGATACCGCTGCATAGCGTCATTATACTCTTTGCGGTGCAAGGCAAGGGTCCCTGGAGAGTCCTCCCATAATGTATCTTGTTCAATGCCCTGCTCCATTTCTTCATTCCATGCGTACATCGCCGGGTCCCAATCTCGAGTGAGCCAAGAGGGGTATTTCTCATTCCCCAGAAAACGAGGAACTGCGGCCACACCATCCCAATCAATTAAGCCCTGCAGGCTCCCATCCTCAGATACAAGAACATTCTGCAAATTTAAGTCCGGATGTGTAAGAACTAACTTTGGGTCTGGAGGTACCGGAATCCATCGTAAAAGAATCTGAAGAAGTCTCCGCAACCCCCTATGGAGATTTTTCTCCGGCTCCTTTGTTCGGTCAAGTGAGAGAAGGTAGAAATCTTGTGGGTCTGTGAAGGGGCCTGCTTCGAAATATAGCGCTGGTTCAATGTCGTCATCGTCTCCTTGCCCGAGCCGCTCAAGCATTGCCTGATGGTCAACAAATCTCGATGGCCCGGGAGTGGGTTTCCCGTCCATATCAAACATCAAGGCTCCCCCGGTAGGGAACAAGAACGAGCTCAGTTCCGCCATCGTTCGAGCAATATCCTCGAGAGTTCTCGTGCGGCGCAACATCCGTTCCAGCAGTCATACAAAGATGTTCCCTGAATGAAGCTCATGAGGATGAAAGGAACACCAAGTTCATTGCCCACAGTTGCATCGAATTCGAAGACATCAGGAACTGGGACTGAGGTTTCGCGTCGGATAAGTTTCATGGTCAAAGCTTCAGATTGAAGTGCTGATGAGGCGGACGCATTGAAATGTTCAGATGTCCCACAGGCGGGAATCTTCAGGATCCAACGCAAACCATCTTGAAATCGAATTGGAAATAAGGCGTGGTAGGAACCAAAAAGTGGAGGTTCGATATTTATCGGCTCGATGAGTGCTTCTTGATTTTCCACAGAGTCTGTTGATGCTTTTCGGGCTCGGGCACAAAAGGCTGGGAGAGATTCGAGATTCAAAGCAGATATAACCAGAGAAAAGATTGCCGCATTGTCACTTTGAGCAGAATCAGGCCGTGAAATCTTCTCATCCTTTTCCATGGTAGCCAGCAATAGATTATTGAATCTAGCAACGCAAATAATTAAAAGTTCGCCAAAAAATTTGGATAAATTATGTTTGAACCAGAACCCCGCAACTTTGCGCTGAAAACACCAGCGGCTCCTGACATGTTCTATATGCCTGAGAGGGAATGTGCTTCATGCGTGGAAGCTGAGAGGCGTCAAGCAGCCAAAAATAAAAAATGAGATCCGGCGCATCGAGTTTCGTCCCTGTTGGAATATAATAGACCTCCGCCTAGCTAGGTGGAACGGTAGTCTATTGTTTTTGTTACTTGGGAAAATGCTCGGACGGATTATGGTGTGCTGTGAGGTGACTTATTTGTCCACTTTGTGCTGACCCATGGGGTACGGCATCTTTCTTTCTGGTGGCATGTACATATACTGAATTAAACTATGAAGAATGAAGATAATCCTAGAGAGAATATAAGACTTGCCAAAGCTTGTGGATAAAGTAAATATGCTGAGGATACCAGAATCGCGTTGTGACATTTATAGTAGTCAACAGGAATTGCTGCTAAATATAACAGGGTCTGCTAACAGATCATCATCCGCATGCCTTTGTGTGCTGAGAGAATTGTGTCTAATGAGAGAGATGCAATTCCACTCCAAGGGCTTTTCCTGACTCTAATGAGAACCTAGAGTCATGTCGTAGGCCCTGGTTCGCCTAGTAAAATATACTAGACATCCATATGGGCGGGTCGGGCGGGTTTGGGGGATCCTATAGGCCAACCTATTAGACCCGCGGGTCTATAGAGACTCTTTAGAACCCGCCCATGGCCTAAAGAGACATTACTAAACCTGTAATGGCCGTATATGCCGGCAGCGATGATACAGCATATGCCATTCGACCAAAAGATCATACACAGTGATGACGCTCGTCATCTCTGGTCGCTGCACTGCTTATATGCTTTGATGTTGGAATGCCACGTGACGTGGGCTTGGTGGGCGCATGCCGTGGCATGACAAGCGATTACTACCTTATTGACTATTTTATTGCTATTTTAAGAAGAGTAGCTATTGAAGCAGAGATTTCTATTAGGGTGGACATCAAGTGGTGCAGGCCAGTGAGTGGTGAAGTACGTCAGTGGATATATGCTTGTAGATAAATATAGAGAAAGGAGAGAAAGGAGAGAAGAAAGTAACGAAGATAGGTATTTAAGAGGGGGAAGTGCTTCCTATCTATGGGAAGGGGGGTATACTAGATGACTATCCTATCGCGTAGACTCAACAGTAGTTGAAGCGCTTACATGGGTTAATATGAAGTTGAATGCACGCATAAAGGCGTGGGAAATAGAGAGAATTCGGGTGAGTCAGCAGAAAGGAAAGCAGCCAGATTTAACTATATTTCGGAAGAGGATAAGTCAAAAAACAAAAAAGTAACAACGATGAAGGAAAAAGGTGACGGCTATGCGGCTACCCTTGGTATACAGCTCAACAGCAGCTCAGAGACTGGACTCTACTTGATATATTCCACGAGAGAACTGATCTGGATGCTTCTTTTTACTTAATGAGTTGCCTATTTACCTCTCACCATGGATGTCTTCGCCGTAGTCTCAGGTTACATCTCCAAGATGGTGACCACAGGAGATACCGCCGCCACGAGCTCCTCGTCTAAGATGAAGATATTGCTTCTTGATAGTGAGACAGTGGGAGACGCGAACCTCTTTTCCTCTCACAAGCTCTAGTCTAACTGGATTTTATAGTTACCCATCGTGTCGACGGCCATGACCCAGTCCGCCCTTCTTAATCACGAAGTATATCTCATCGACCGCCTCGATAACCAGTCCCGCGAGCGCATGAGACATCTTAGATGTCTGTGCTTTGTCCGCCCATCCCCGGACTCTATACAATTCCTCATCGATGAGCTAAGGGCACCCAAATACGGTGAATATTATGTTTATTTCAGCAACATTGTTCGCAAGTCATCACTCGAAAGGCTAGCAGAGGCAGACGACCATGAGGTTGTGAAATCCTTGCAGGAGCATTTTGCAGATTTCTTAGTGGTAAATCCGGACCTCTGTCATCTCAACGTAGGCTTCCCTAGACAGCGGATCTGGAGCCACTCGCCCGACCTCTGGAACACAGACGCTCTACAGCGAACAACAGAAGGCGTGATTGCGCTTCTCCTCTCCCTGAAGAAGAACCCGTTGATTCGATATGAGAAAAATAGCCTGATGACAAAAAAACTTGCTACAGAGGTCAGGTACCAGCTCACTCAAGAGGAACAGCTATTCAATTTCAGAAAGCCTGATACGCCCCCGATATTGCTAATCCTTGACCGCCGTGATGACCCTATAACTCCCTTATTGACCCAGTGGACATACCAGGCAATGGTACATGAGATACTGGGAATCACCAATGGCCGAGTTGACCTTAGTGAGGTCCCAGACATTCGCCCAGAATTAAGAGAAATTGTCATCGCTCAGGACCAAGATCCGTTCTTTAAGAAAAATATGTATCAAAATTTTGGCGACCTTGGTGGTAATATTAAGGAATATGTTGAACAGTACCAGTCCAGGACTAAAACTAACATGAACATTGAATCAATCTCCGATATGAAGCGGTTTGTTGAGGATTATCCCGAATTTCGAAAACTATCTGGAAACGTTAGCAAGCATGTGGCCCTGGTAGGGGAGCTTAGCAGAAACATCGGGGAACATGACTTGTTAAATGTGAGCGAATTGGAACAAAGCTTAGCTTGCAATGATAACCATGCAAATGACCTCAAGGTTCGTAGTCTACTTATCTTTCTCCTTTCTTATTTTTTCCGCAGTATACTTACTCTTTCCATCTAGTCTCTTCAAAGATTCATACAATCCCCTAACGTAACTGTGGAGAACAAGCTGCGTCTTGTTGCCCTATATGCCATCCGCTACGAAAAGCAACCTTCAAACACGCTTCCAGTTCTCCTTGATCTCCTCACGGCAGCTGGAAATGTCCCTCCACATAAAATAAACATCATCCCAAAACTCCTAGCATATTACTATTCCTTACAAGCACCTCCTGTCGCTGGCGGATTCTCAGACCTATTCGAGTCAGCCTCCTTTTTAACAGGGGCGCGTGATCGATTTAAGGGGCTTAAGGGTGTAGAAAATGTCTACACCCAACATTCGCCTCGGCTAGAGGCTACTCTTCAAAATCTGATAAAAGGCAGGCTAAAAGAACCCCAGTACCCTTTCTTAGAGGGGGGTGGGCATACCCGTGACAAACCGCAGGACATCATCATCTTTATGGTCGGAGGAGTAACGTATGAGGAAGCAAAGATGGTTGCTCAGGTCAATGCTAGCTCTCCTGGGATTCGGGTCGTCTTAGGCGGGACATGCATTCACAATAGCACTACCTTCTTGGATGAAGTGGAAGATGCCGTCGGGAACTGGCCTGAGCCTGCACCCACGACTGCAGCCGGACGGTTACGATCAGAAATAAACCGATAAATTACAGTTTTCTTATCTGATGAATCTTTTCACGGCTTAATTATGAGTGTATATCGGCGGTTCATGGCTTTCTTTAATAGGCAGATCTATATATTTTACCCCTTTACTTCACATTCAACTGTCAAAATGATGCCAAGGAATCTTAAAAGCTTGATTAAAATAGAAAAGAGACACAAAGCGCCCACGCTCAACCTAACATTTATCGACTTTCAAGGACGGAGAATCACACTGCTTGCCATCTAAGAATGGATTCACAAACACATACATCGCCTGGTGTGACTACGCGGGACACAGGTCTACGGCTGCCATCCACCACAAATCCTCCGGGACCCCAGAATCCGCCAAAGCAACTCGTATGGCTGGTATGTAGCATCCGGAATACCTAGCCTATCTTTCCGTGTACCTATATAGCTGGCTACTGTATGTACTTCCGTCTTAATAACATCCGGTATCTAGGTCTTTGGCGCAACTGGCCATATTGGCCGTTCGCTTGTGAAGTCGGCTCTTGGCCACAATGATCTCGTTGCGGCTGTTGGCCGTACATTCGAAACCACTCCCGAGAGCATGGGACGGCTTCAGCAAGAAAACAAGAATTGCCTTGGCTTGCTATGTGATGTCCGCACAAGGGAGACCGTGAAAGCAGCTATTGATCGTACAATCGCTCATTGGGGGCGAATAGACATCGTCGCCAATTGCTCCGGTTACGGCGTAATCGGGGCCTGCGAGGACCAAGAGGAGTACGACATACGCAATCAATTTGAAACTAACTTCATGGGTACGCTGAACATCGTGCAGCTAGCTCTTCCGCATTTCCGTGAACGTGGGGCGGGAAGATATATCATTTTCAGCTCTACTTCTGGTGCACTTGGAGTCCCGGGTTTAGGCCCGTACTGTGCTTCAAAATATGCGGTTGAAGGGCTGATTGAAAGCATGCTTTATGAAGTTGACTGTTTCAACATCAAATGCACACTTGTTTTACCGGGCCATATACGTCGCGATGACCATGACACCATTCCCGGAATGCCTGGGAACGAAGACAATCTCACTTCACCATTGCCGGCTTTTGGACATTTTCTCATAAAACCAGCCAGCGAACCATATAGCGGAGTTACGGCTCCGGCGGCGCATGCTAGACGCATTTTGCAATGGCTAGGTGATAAACCGCCCACGAGCGCTGTGAAGTCTGCTGAGCTCGTGTGGCAGCTGGGCCACTGCTCTTACCCGCCATTGAGACTACTGCTTGGTACATATGCAGTAGAAAGTATCAGAGACCGGCTAAAATGTGTTACCGAGGAAATAGAGGACTGGAAACATCTGAATTTTCCGACCACTGATCAGCAACCACAAGCAAATTCCTCTGTTAAGACAGAAGGAGACTCGGGAGGAAAGGAATCAGAGGATCAACTAGCATCTAATGATATACAAGTAGCAGATTAAAAGTACAGAACGCCTAGCATTACCCGACAGCCCACGCTAACGAACTGTCCCCCCAGAATTAATAATAACAACCGTATAGCCCTCCATTGCCTTCCATTTGATTTGCCCATAATACTCCTCCAACACCTACCCAACCGTGGTTATAATAGTGCCCCATTGATCATAAAGTCCTTGGTTTATCCGTTCCCGCGACATCTAATACCTTGTTTATGCTACGCTGTTTGGCGTTTCTCTTCGATGCATCTTTGGTGGGCAGGCGACCCTGATTTCAGGTTTACTTCCTCTTAAAACTTACGCCGTGAGACATTTTGAGGAAGTAAGCAAATACGTTATCCGCAACATCGTCGATTTTGTCATAGCTGGCTCCTAGGCGATATGCTGCTGCTGTACCAGATATCACAGCTATTTCATGCAAGTTCTGATATTTTTCATTAGCGGTCACTCTGAAGAGGTACTTTGGGATATAGAAACTCACCGTGTAGGTCCAGGAACCTGCATAAAAGGTGTTATTTCTTCCATTCAGAAACTTCATGGCTGGCACAAGTCTTGCGAAATGCTGCCATCTATGGGACAGCTGGTGCCACCACTTCTGTTCAATAACTTTGTCTTGATCGATAAGGTCAACTGTCCATACGTCCTTCATCTCTTGGTCTATAAAGTGACTCTGAAAAATGTGGTCCTCGAATGGTGGCAAAGGGTTAGGACTCCCTGCTGGTTTTCGGAATTGGTATTGGAAGCGTGTGCAGTCATATCCTACTTCCATCTTTTCCGGTCGGGTATGGTAGGAAAATGTGCAATATGACGGCTGAAAGCTCGATACGACGCCATCTTCTCCCTTGGCAGTTTTGATATGGTCTTTATCCTCGGCGGTCTGGGCTTCACCACATATCTCATCTCTGTACTGGACCTCAAACTTTCTCTGAAAGTAGGCATGGTCGGAATGAGTGATCGTCAGGTCCTTGTACCATTGAGTTGTCCCCAGAACGAATCTCTCTCGCCACGATGCCAAATCTCCTAAGAGGTCCTTTGCCTGGTCCCCTGGGATACAAAAGACGATTTTGTCGTAAGGTTCTGACAAAATCCTGTCCCTGACCCCGCCATTTCCAATTCTTTGGTCCGCATCGATCTGACGGGTTTCCACAACGATACCCTTTTTATTTCTCTGGCAAACCTTCATTACCTGGGTATTGAACCGTATGTCCACTCCCCTTGTGCGGAGACCTTCTGCCCAGTCCAGATAGAAACGACTCATGTTTGGATATGCATATACGCTATGATCGAACGGCACAAGCGATTTCATGTCATAGGCGCAAAACTTTATGTCTGGGTCTTCAAAGAGTCCTTGAAAGAGCCCACAGGGCACATCGCGACCCTGATTCCCCATGCCAAAGAATATTGAAGTTGCCGGATAGACTATCTTGTTTCCGAAATCCTTTGAGAAACCAAAGAGACGAAGGAACGTTTTCAGGGGAAGATGCCAGAGCAAGGAATACTGGCGAACCGTCCTGAGCAGTTCCCCGAATTTCCGTATCTCAGCAGCATGTTCTTGCACCAGTGTCGTTGGAAAGGCGTTTGTCCAGAAGTTCTCCTTTCCCTTGCCAAATGCAAACTGTAGCGTCGTCTCTTGCGGTTCGTGTCCATATTCACGGAAGAAGTGGTAGGTGTGCTTGAATATTCCCGGCCCACCCTGGGCTCCGATATTTACCCAGTCTGCTCCGAATTTCTCCTTGTCGATGGCGATGGATTTTGCCTGTCCGCCTGGTACATGGTCTCTTTCGAGCAAGGTCACTTCGAACTTGTCCGGTTCTTTCGCCAGGGTTGCGGCGCATGACTAGAACAACACTTGTTATTCATCTATGTCTCCATATTTTTTTTTTCTTTTATTACCTGCAGCAGGTATGGGTCATCTCCCCACAAACCTGGCTGGGACTCAGAAACAAGGAGGGAGATAGAGGGAGAGAAAACAGCGGCAATGCTCACCATTCCAGCAGCGCCTGCGCCTACCACCAGGACCTTCACCCTCCGATCCTCCTTCGAAGCAGGCTTCAAGGCCATGCTGGCTGCTATCCATGCAACAGCTGCAGTTCAGGTTATATATATGTATATAGATGAGCCAGCGTCAAGGTTGGCGTCTGTCATTTGAGTCGGGTGCATACCCCCGAGCCTACGAAAGAGTTACGAAGAGAGTCTAAATGTCACGTTTCTATCCAGTACTTCCTTTCCAAACAGGTTGGCTGGCGAAGGCTAACCATGACCCTTCCCTCGAACCAGTCCATGACTTGTAGATCGTGAGGAAGTATATGACCCAAGCGAAGCAAACGCGGGTGTAACTTCCCAGTTCTTGATAGTGTAATTTTTTTGGTTAGCTTCGTATCGCGTCTCTTTGGTATTTTATATTCACGTGACCACTAGATGGAAAAAGCTCGCTTTTGATGACGAGCCAGAAAAGAAACAACAAACATGAGGCAGCGCGTCCTGAACACGTCAGTTACCGTTGAAAAGCCAAGGTACCTGGAGAGCTTAGGCCGCCGTAGATGCCACTATTACCCCCAGAGCTCGTATCTTGGATGTGTACCGAACGTCTTCAGCGCTCGAGCAATATCCACCCGTTTCTGCCACCATCTTGCCAGTCTATTGAATTCTAACAGCAAAGAAGCTAGCGCACCATATTATTGGAGGCCAAGGTCACTGATATCTCAGCACGGGTACAGCAAGCCTGGGACGTTCGTGTTGTGTTCAAGACGTCGGGCCTATCCTCCACCCTGGTTCCAAGGGCCAGGCCACACTATGGACCGCGACCTGCAGGCCGCGATTGATGCCTCTATGGAGGACGCAGTAAGATCTCAATCGAATTTACGAAAGAATAAATCTTCAATTGTGGATCTTACTGGAGATTCTGATGAAGACGCGGGGCCTCGGACACAGAATGCGCAGCGGACCTTGGAGGAAGCTGACTCCGATGCAGAACTGCAGCAAGCCATTCAACTGTCCCTGCAGAGCGCCGAACACCTGACAAACAGTGATGATGCTCAAAGGGCAGGAAGTGATGAAACATCAAGCAAGTCCGAACATGCTGAGTCGATGACTCCATCGTCTGGATTCGGAATTCTAGGCTTTGACCGTAGAAAGATGGAAGAAGAACGGCTGGCAAGGCTGGCAAAGAAGAGGAAGGCAGGAGACGACAGTTCTGCGCCATCAGCAGCAAGACCGTTAAAGGCTTCAAAACAGGAGATTTCGGTCCGAGGGCAGTCTACCGGCAAGCCGTCTTCAACTACAAACGCAGCTACAAGCAAACCTGTAGCGATCTCGTCCGAACCGTCTATACAGTTTCCTGACGGCGCAGTGAAGAAGACGTGGGCTTTTCGCTGCGAGAGAAAGAATGATATAAAGATCGAAGAGGTCTTTCAGCCATCAGACTTGGAGCTGGCAGTCCTCAGCTCTTTTCTGTGGGACATGGACTGGCTGCTCTTGAAGTTCACCAACCCCAAGACCAGGTTTCTATTTATCATGGGTGCTAAGGGGGAGGAGAAGGTATGCAATGGATAGTTTTTTTTTTCTTCCCCCGTTGTATGGTGGGGATACTAACTGAGTTTGATAGCAAAAACAACTGTTGGAGGAGACGGCCTCGATGCCTAGGATACGACTGTGTTTCCCGCCGATGGAAGGGGAGGTCAATTGCATGCACTCGAAACTGATGCTACTCTTCCACCCTGGATATCTCCGCATCGTCACCCCAACTGCGAATCTCGATCCGTACGACTGGGGAGAAAAGGGCGGGGAGATGGAGAACGTAAGTTCCTGTATCTCCCGATTACCCGGGGAGGGGGAGGGATGTTTGGTAACTATATATAACTAACCTTTTCCCATGCTAGATGCTATTTCTGATCGATCTCCCCCGAAAGTCTGACGGCGGGACGGGCATCGACGATGCAACGCCATTCAGGGACGAGCTTGTTTACTTTCTCAAAGCATCGAACATAAACGAGAAGATCATTGATAAGATGCTTCAGTTTGATTTTCGCAAGACGACTAAATATGCTTTTGTGCATACCATGTGGGTTTACTTTATTTTTTTTTGTAACTCTAACTCTTTTAACTTGCGTTTGTTGACTTTTTGGGGCTTATAGCGGTGGCTCACATATAACCTCATACGAGCGCACCGGTTACTGCGGCTTGGGCACAGCGGTTAAATCACTTGGACTGCAAGTGTCACGTCCGTTGAAGCTGGACTACGTGGTATGCCTCGGGATTGAAGGCGGTGGGAAGGATAATCTCGGGTGGATATTATTTTTTTTTACTGACGTTTTCTCTTTTTTTTTACTATTACAGACTTCATCTGTCGGTTCGCTTACCTCGACATTCCTCCGAAACCTATATCACGCAGCGAAGGGTAAGGATGTGTTGACAACGACATGCATGCGTTAAACTGACACGTCGTAGGTGACGACGGGTCGAAACCGCCATCGGCACGTGCAGGTAAACAGTCAAGCAAGGCCGGCAGTAAGAACGCCGCGACGAATGACGATGAGTGGCAAGACCGCGTGAAGGTGTACTTCCCGTCCAGAGAGACGGTTCGAGGATCTCGGGGCGGCGTATCGGCGGGCGGTACGCTGTGCCTCATGTCGAAGTGGTATAACTCTCCGACGTTTCCCAGACATGTCATGCGGGATAATCGCAGCGTGCGGGAGGGCCTGTTGATGCACAGCAAGGTAAGAGGAGCGGGTTATAATAATATATGCCATCCATAAACCAGGATATACCTTGGAGAATGCGTTGGATCACTATAAGTAGCATGCTGGTAAGACCGGTGACTGACGGTTGAGGATTACCATACACATAGATACTGTTTGTCCGGCCGGAGACAGGGACCATCGAGAGGGCAGACGAGTCTACGTGTCGCGGATGGGCGTACGTCGGGAGTGCCAATCTGTCAGAGAGTGCATGGTAAGGGAAGAAACAGGCCCCCATCATCCAATCCATCCCTTATCTCTCTTATTAGCTCGGGACGACCTCGCTAACCAGAAGGGGGGGGGCGGCCAAGGGGGCGGCTGGTGGTTGACCGCAAGACGAAGCAGGCCAAGCTCAATTGCCGAAACTGGGAATGTGGCGTTTTGGTTACGGTCGGGGCGGCAGAGAAGGAGAAGGCGGATGATGGTGATGGTGATGGCGACGGTGGTAGTGGTGGTAGTGGTGATAAGACGGCTGGCGTAAGGGTGTCATCTATAGGAGAAGGGGAGGACCTTGCTGGCGTGTTTGGTGACATCGTGCCTGTCCCGATGCAACAGCCCGGACGCGAGTACGCACCAGGAGAGCGGCCGTGGTTCTACCTTGAACATCATTAATATTTATCAGCTACGGCTGACCGTTGGTGTCGGGCATCGTAAACTATCCAAGCCACTCACTCGCTCTAACATCTTCCTTCGATGGGGGGGGAAGAGAGAGAGAGAACCCGTTTGTCATTTATCGTCCGTCTGCATGCTGCCTGCATAATACATGATGATAACTGCATATCCTTCGCTCCCTTTCCCTTTCCCCCTCCAATCACCCGCCATCCAACCCATAGCGACATGCATCAAGCCTCCTCTACACCGACCCAACGCCCCCCGTCGAAGCAAGGAAGAAATCAGCCAATTAGTAGCGTGTCGACGAACCAACAAACCGACAGACAGAGCGCGAGGACAACGAGAGAGAGCGAAGACGACGAGAGAGAAAGCGCTTTTCCACGGTTAACTCCTGTCTTCACATGATATGAGCTGTGTGGGAGAGACGAACAGGTTGCCTGCTTTGCGAGAAGAGCGCCTTGTCCCGCTGATCACTTCAGGACTATATAGTGTATGTAAGTGCACTAAACTCATGTATGCACGCCATGTATCCTGTCTACATATGTATGCGTAAGTATATGTGTGCTGGCCTCAGGGAACCGGCATCTAAAAGCAGATGATACAACAGTCAAGGCGCAGGCGTTGAATTAGGTCCAGGAACGTGAAGAAAAGGAAAAAAAAAAGCATGTTCTGGTATAGCTCGTATATGTATGTATGGGATGGAATTAAGTGTATATCTTGATTTTCTTACTATGTAGGTGTTTAAAAATACTCCGAACGTGAGACTTGCTCTTCAAGCCACGCGGGGGTTTCAACGAACTAACACGGCGACCGACAGGACAGCCAGGCCGGCCGGGCTGAACAGGCTGAACAGGCTGAACAGGCTGAAACAGCCCAACCAACCCATTATGATGCATCGTCTGAACCGCATGCTACGTACTATGTAGTATGTGTAGGAGAGAGTGTTGGTCTACATCT